TGTACGTGGATATAAAAATAGCCGGGTATCCGCATTCTGACGTACAAAATGTGTTTATATTACTGCGCTTCTTTCCATGCAATTAATTTTTTTTCTTCGCGTCATTCTTGCTTGATCAATACATTAGGTAATATTTGAGATAGCTTCACAGAAGCTGCATGGCTAAAATGTATATGGCGTCATGTTTGCGGTTGCTGATAAGGAAAAATACTTTTCGCTATTTTTCTTAAAATAGGAACTATATATCCATACTGAATGTCATCCTTGATAAGGATGTGTAAAATTCGGAAATCGCAGTCAATGAGAGACGGCTTTTGTCAACAACATCAGACTTGCCTCGCATCGGCTACTCTTGCACCCAGAGCCACCCATCTCATCAAAAGTCTTTTCTCTGCAGTTATTGTAAATTGAAGTGATATAATTTACATAATTTTTATTCAAAATACTTCCGTCTATTTTTTATCACATGACCTTCATTTAAGGCCTGTTTACATGAAGCCGAGTTACTCGGCAGCACCGAATTCTCGCCTGTTCTATATATTGTATGGATATCTCGGTTGACTGTTTATATGGCTCATCCGAGTAACTCAGCGTGCCGAGTTCTCAACAAACTGTGCCGGGTTCTCGGCAAGGCGAGTTACTCGGTTATACCATGTAAACACTTTGCAACAGGAAACTCGGCTAGGCGAGTAGAATATTCGCCAAACACGCATGCGTGTTTACGTTTCATTTACCACCATTGTAAAAAACTTTTTGAAATTTTGCGCCCTACATAGGAAGTACGTCATGTAATTACAATGTACCGTAACAAATACCGAGTTACCCGGTTCCATATAAACACAATGCCGTTTTGTCCCGGCAAGGCGAGTGACTCGGTTACCCGAGTAACTCGGCTCCATGTTAACAGACCCTTAGTCTCCCTTGTAGGTTTAATTAATTAGTAGGTTTGATAATTAATTGTTCAAGTTGATAAAGAGAACACAACTGTCAACTAGAGTAAGGTCACTCTATTCTACAATTGGTTATATTATTTATATACGTTTATGTTTCAACTCTATCGACGGTATTCAACAGCAGTTTAGTGTGTGCGCCAACTAAAGTAAGACTCTTTCTTTGTGATTTGTAAACATAGCTACGTTAGTTGATTTATTTTATATTTAGTGCATGCCTGTTATAGTATTTAATTTGTCTAGATTGCATGACTTAGTGCGGTTTAATTCTTGCATTTTTGTTCGAACGTTACCCACTATATTTCTTTTCCGCGATCACTCTATTCAATATTCCGTTACCGGATTGATCAGCCACCATACCTTCAACCGCACAGTATTATAAACTTTATCATTAAAGATACATTTTATAACCATTATCCGCGCACGTGTTATTCTATCATCGTGGTTGGCGATTTTAGTGGAGTAGTTCAATTTGTGGCGTGAACGGCATACCAAAGCAGCGTAGCTTTTAGAAGAATTTGGGAGTTACAGCCACCCAACCGATAAACCTTGGATGACACTTAATATTAAAGCAGAAATAAAGTTAAGACAACGGGCTTTTACTCGTGGAAATACGGACCAATACACTCTTTTATGTGCAAAGGTTGAAGACATGATTAAGAAAGCGAAAATAAAATACTACCAAAGCAAAGCTAAAACTCTTCGCACTCGTGATCCTGCGAAATGGTGTAAAGTGATTTATGCTTTGTCTGCATGGTGCAAATAATCAACAGAATGGTGCGTCTGTAAACTCACTGTCTAAAGAGGAAGGCTTTGATGTAGCAGAAAAGCTTCAAAAATCCTTTGTTGCTCCATGGAAAGACATCAATACAACAACCGGCCCACATTTAAACGACGTTGAAATATTCCTCAAAGACTATGCACCTTCCCTCCCTGGCAGAGGTCAGATCAAAAATGCGCTAAACCATCTTAAAGAATCGGAAGCAACGGGAGCGGACGGTGTTCCAGCATGGCTACTTAAGAGATTTTCGGGCCATTTTCCTATATCCTATATAGCACGGGTAGTCCATGAAATTATTACCCCCAGCATTAAACAGTGCAAGTATCCAAGTCATACAGTGCAAGTATCCAAGCCTTATTACACCTCTGCCCAAAGTATATCCACCAAACAACGTAAATAATGACTTTCGGCAATTTCTGTTTTACTGACACATCGAAAAAATCTTAGAGAGAATACAACTTCAACTAAATGATAAAGATATCACATTGTGTCCCAGCCAGCATGCATGGTTTTATTAATGGCCGATCTACTACATCATGCAGCCTTGATATCCATTACACAACCATGGTTTAATGCTACAGATAATATCTATTCTGATAAATCAGCTATTCATGCCCTTTTTATAGATTTAAAAAAAGCTTTTGATTTAGTCGACCACGAGATTTTGCTGTTTAAACTTGCACGAATGAATGCATGTGAACAAAAGTTTCTGGCTGTGAGTTAAAAGCTTCCTATCGGGTAGAACCCAGCAAGTCAAAATAAATGGAACACTATCCTCAACTGAAAGCTGTCCTGCTGGAGTCCCCCAAAGGACGTCCGTACTTTCTCCAGCCTTATTCAATATACCTAGCTATTGATGATTTAGATATTTCATGCAGAACACACAAATACGCTGATGATTGTAACCAAAGTGAACGCATTATACAGGGAAAATGCAGCAATATACAGGAAGTTTTGGACTCTGTAAAAAGGTGGTCTGATGATGATAAATGCAGTTGAACGCGAAAAAAACGAAGGATATGTGGATTTGTTTTGGGAAGTCTATTCCGGAACCTCCCAATCTTTCTATCGCGGATTCCATTGTTGAAAGAGTGGACACTTTCAAGTTGCTGGGGCTAGTTTGTCAGAGTAACCTAAAATGGAACTCGCACATTTATGAAATAACACGTAAAAGTAACAGGAAACTTTATCATCTCAGGGAGTGTAGGAAGGCACATCTTCCTACAGAATTCGGCCTTGAAACTTACTGCACTAAAATACGCCCCCTGCTAGAATATGCGGCACCAGTTTGGGATAGCTTACCCCTTCACGTAGTTAATGATCTCGAATGCATCCAAAGAAGAAGTTTACGTATTATTGGCCTACCAACCAATACTCTCCCTTCGCTAGGCAAAACAAGAGAGAAATCAACACTTCGGGAACTAAAGAAAATAATTTGTGACACTACTAACCATCCATGTCAAGAATTTATTCCCGCCGCAAATAATTAACACTTATTTACTGCGAACGAAGGAAACATTATGTTTTGTGGACCCGAGACCTGTCGATATTTCACGAGGCAAAGCCGAGTGAAATATCGATGGTCGAGGGTCCACAAAACATAATGTTTCCTGAGTTTTCGGAAAATAAGTTTTTTATTATATACCACTTGTCAAATAAAAACTAAACTAGAAGGTATACAACGAAATATCTATTCATTAAAGACATAATTTCAAATGGATAAAAGTTGTTATTTCCCATGAGATTATAACACTGCATGGCGACATCAAAATTTCGTCACTCTCGACCAATGAAACGCTACGAAAACAAAACTTTGACAAGTGGTATCCTGGTGGTATATAATAATCATTATTATTACACTAGATCCAAAGGCAACAGTGACAACGTAGGTAAAATAATATCTAGTACTGAAAGACATAAAATGTCATTCATACCTCAGGCAACTGAACTTTTAACAAAACACTAAATTTCTCGCCGTACTCCGCTTGACGTTTAAATTATCAATAATGTTTTATATTGTATAATTTATATATTTATATATTCTTGTAAATACACACTGATATATTTTTAGATAATAATAGGACCTTTTAGGACCATTGTAATTTTTAGCTTAAGGTGGATTTAAAGAGCTTATTATTATTAGTTCTGTAGTAAATAAAATTCGATGAAGTAACTCGTGTTTCTCATCCTGTGTTATATATTTATTTATATATTTAAATATCTATAAACCCATTGGCCGTTGATATTGACCTCTTTTATATATTGTCACATTTTTGAAGGTATCCATCTTGGCAAGACCATGGGCAGCTGGTCCGAACTTGAAAGAAGACTGGAATATACAGGGTATCCCAAAAATACCCAAAACTATTTGAGGGACTCGTCCGCGAATTTTTGCCTATTGGGATTAACGCAACTTATAAAATACTAAATAGGCCTAAATAAGTTAAAATTTGCTAGAGAAGGAAAGGTCGAAGATCATCGTCCTGAGTTGTAAATTTAAATATTGTTATCCATATTTGTAAAGTGATTTGGTAATAAAAATCATTTGTTGGTATACAAACAAATTTTACTGTCATCGATTCATCATGTCATATATATCAAATTTATTGAACAGTGTTCAAACGGAGAAAATGCAAACGGGACACGAGATCCCATGCGAGGCATTCCTCCGATTACATATTTACATATACAAAAACAAATAACACACAGAAGAAACATAAGTTATATAGCTACACGCATCGAAGAATAAGCATATGCCACAAGCTCGAAAATCCAAGTTGTTGATTTGTTGTTTGTTTTTTTTTGTTTGTTTTTTCATGGGAAATGAAATACATTTATCAGAAAGAGATAAGATAATTTAAAAACCATAGTAAATGATTTAAAATCAGGCAATAGCACATGTTCTCTTCGCATGTTATTTAAGCTCTATGACATGAACAGATTCTATGCAATGACCATGTACAGGGCATGTCAACGTCAGTAATAAGACACTATAATGTCAAACATATATGTCATATATGCAGTTTATACACTTGTGGGTCCCAACAGGGTGCTTATAGGCGCATTCAAACTCCAGCTATTACATCGTTATGGGTGATTTCAATGGTTTGGGGTTTTTTGGGACAACTGGCAGGTTATATTCATTTCCCAGCTTTAAAACGAGGATCGAATCCACCCAGTGTATATATAGTTCACCGGTGTCTGTCATTTTTCTCTCGTTCCGGGATTTGCTGAGCTTGCTCTGTCCAGACTCCTCTGGTTCTGTCAAATTCAAGATGGTCGACGAGTTGCCAGTTCCATCTGTTTATGATGAGCCAGATGAGGAAGATGATGTAGTTGACGAGGTTTGAAATATTCATGATTATTTCATAACTACTAGAATAATGTGTTGATTCATATCTCATTGTATATTAACCTATGCATAATACTCAAGTTTTCATATCTGACCTAAACCATGTGGAGAGTGCAGACTTTATATTCTTCAATTTGTCCGGCCAGGGACGCCGGAACGATGCGAGGGCAAAGGGGGCAGATTTTGTTGAAAGGGCACTCCTGTAGCGGCGCATTAATAAAGAATGTTTGCAAAACATCGTCAGTTGAACTTCGTATCGTCGTGATTTCTCTTTCAAAGATAATTTCTGATCAAAGATAATTTCTGATCTAGACGATTGTCTTATTCTTGATGCTCGTTTGTGGCACTTCTAATTCAGATATAGAATGTAATTAATCTTTTAAAATAAAAGGGCATTTTGTCCCCCTTGCCCCTTCTGGTGAAAGGCAAGGGGGGCAGTTGCCCCTGCTGCCCCCCCTGTTCCGGCGTCTGTGTTTGTCCCCCCCTGCTGCCCCCCTGTTCCGGCGTCTGTGTTTGCCCCATCCGCTTTTATAGAATATGCGCAAAATATTTTTTATTTTGTTATAGATTGATGTCTATTTAGCCAAAAATCTGGCTGAAAACCTTTACCTTTTCCAGGCAAGTTTCAATCCATGATTTTGTGTGTGTGTTTTATGGTTTTTAATAATCAAATTGACAAATTATAAAATGATTTCAATGGATATGTTTGTGTAGTATCTAAGCCGTCCAGCTGCAGTGAGCTACGACAAGACAGCATGTTTATCATCAAGGGTAAAACCAAAACAACAAAAGGTGAATTTCAAAAATTTCATAAATACTGGCTTAATTAATTGTTTAATTGTTAAAAAAATAATTTTTCTAGGTAATGCTGGAAATGTCGTTAAACACATCTGGTCCCAGTTACTGCAAATCTAAAGGGGAACAATTTGCCTGGGAAGCTGACCATGCTGCATCAGATGATAAAAAATTCTTCAGAAGGTCATTTTTGGCATAGAAAAACAAAACATTCTCATGTATATATTTTATAATTTTATTGACTGCCACTGTGAATCTAGCATTCTAGTAATTAATGTTGTAGTAATGATCTTTTCTAAAACAGTGACAGAATGGACAAGCAAGTCTTGCTCTCTTCCCAAGGAACAGTTTCAACATCACAGTATGCAGTTGGTCTGCTGAGAGATGGTAAACATAACTTAAAGCAACAATTGCTTTTAACTAATTACTGTATGTGACAACCTACATTATATCGTAATAATGATAAACAATCATGTTTACAGTGAAATACTTTTGTATCTTTCAGGGGAAATTCATTTAACACCTCTCAAGGGGGTTGTTCAATTGAGGCCCAGTTTTGAATATTTGGATCGTAATCAGGAGAAAAAGCCAACTAACCAGGAGGAAGGTTTGTACATGAGTAAGCTTGGCTTAGGCTCTCTGTTGAAATCCCTTCTCTACCTTTGTCTTGAACCCAGCTTCAAAATAGGAAATTGGACAGAGCAAGCAGAATCTATTTTTGCAGGTGATTCACAAGATGAAGATGAGGAAAAGGCCACTGCTTTGTTGGTAGGAAAACTTTAAGATTCTATCTAAGTCTAAAAAATACAGTAAACTTGCAGTTCCGTACAATGATCAAGTTACTCTGAATTCCAGGTTAGGTTTGCTAAGAAGGAAACTGAACAAGCCAAAGCTCAGAGGCTGTCATCCTATAAACATCTTGAGAAACAGATGTCGGAAGAACCATGGACTGAAGTTGAATATTTTGGAATCAATGTGGGTTCACAATCTCAGTGTTCAACATGTGTTATTCCAGTAACATCAGTAATCATGTGTGTAATATTTGCCTTTCAATTATTCTCTTCCCAGGACACAAAAAGTGTTGAGGAACGAAATTTGCTGTTTTGTCAAGAAGTGAATACTGAGGTTTTAGAATTTGATGCAACCTCAAGGTTTGATTTTTGTGCAAGTAAATACATTGTTATTATTGCCTACAACAGAACCCTGGCTAAAATTCTGTTAACCACAAGCAAACTGATTTAGTCATCCTCAACCATCTTTACTTTGGGGGAGGATGGATTTTGACACTAACAGTACCTGTTCAGATCATTAGCCTTAATTTGGTCACATAGCCAGCTAGCTTGTATTTTGTTTTGCAGTAGTTATGTTGAGATGTTGATGCCTACTACAGCAGAGGTTTCAAGGTAGGTTAATCAAGCCAACATGCCAGTCATGGAACAAAGTGGGGTAGCCAACCAAATAAACAACCTTGGATGACATGATTCTTCCTGCATTAAAGCAAATCCATATTGCCAGAGTTTAGAGGCTAGGAAATACTCTCTTGACACATTAAGATTTGTCTTATTTGTTTCTTCAAGTGATTTAAACTCATTGCCAACCAAATTCACAACGTTAGCTCATGTACGAAAAATGGACATAATTGACCAAGTTAGGAATCGCTTAATAGAGGGTGAGTCTGGTTGTTTCTGGTGAGATGTTGCAGCTTCTCTTAGCACTTTCAAACCTGGTGGCGAAAAAATTATATTAAATTTTGGCACTTAAAATGATAACGTGGCCATTGGATTTCTTGCAGCTAAATTAATGACATTCTCGGAGATCTCCAATGCATTGCTTCCTCCAGCAAACGACGTTACTGTGTTGAAATGTCTACAGCAACATGCGGTTCTTGTTCAAGGATCTTGGGTTGTTAAAAGGTATGTAATGTAGCATTATCTTACTTTACGACGCAAAATCTGCTCATAAGTAGACGCTCGTTTCTTTATACAAAACTACAACATTTCTTATTCCATTATTATTATTATTATTAAGTTATTTGAAAATTTTCATCATTCCCTGTAGTGAATTACTTTATCCAAAAGGAAAAACAAGTGCTTTCAGCTCCTCAACATCAGAGACATTATGTGTTGCAAGAGACTACATCGTAAGTAATGAAATTTACTCGAAGATTCCTTGCAATACAATTCGTATATTCAATATATGCGTATATTCAATCCTATTTATATTTTTAAGCTTTACAGATTCACCGAATCTCGTATCGTTCAAAGAAGCGACGTGATTTCTGTGGTCAAGGTTAGATTTTCACGATTAAATTTAGTTTAGTACAACATTGTTGTAGTGTAACTTGTATTTTTTTTTTCTTTTTAGCTGACAGTAAATGATGTGAATGATCTGCTACAGCAGGTATAAACCAGTGATATAAATAAACCCTTTTATAAATCTGAATGTAGTGACAGCTACTGCAGTATCATTTTAGAGTTTAATATGTCAATTGACAAGTGAGAATTAGTTCAGCTCTAGGTAATGGTTTAGTTAAAAGAGAAAGAGAGTTGTCAACTCTTTTTAAAATGTGCAACCTCTAGACGATATTATTTTATTATTATAGGTTGCGACCAGAATCGTCAACGTTGGCTGGGAATTCAAGCTGCCTTACGACCAAGATTTTGTTCAAAAGTAAGCAGTCCATTAATATCCTGCATGCATGGAAAGCCATAATCGATTCTTCTGTTTGTCATAATTTTCTTCTTTATTTCACAGGTTTGGCGATGTCGTAAAACAACAGTCATCGTTCTGGACGACAAAATATCAAACGTAAGATTTTATTAAAATTAGACATAAATGAAATTTCATCTGTGTTGTTTGTTCGTTCCTACATTATACAGAATGCCAATTATTCTCGTTCCTACATTATACAGAGTGCAAATTATATCTTCGTTCCTACATTATACAGTGCAAATTATATCTTCGTTCCTACATTATACAGAATGCCAATTATTCTCGTTCCTACATTATACAGAGTGCAAATTATATCTTCGTTCCTACATTATACAGTGCAAATTATATCTTCGTTCCTACATTATACAGAGTGCAAATTATATGTTCGTTCCTACATTATACAGAGTGCAAATTATATGTTCGTTCCTACATTATACAGAGTGCAAATTATATGTTCGTTCCTACATTATACAGAGTGCAAATTATATGTTCGTTCCTACATTATACAGAGTGCAAATTATATCTTCGTTCCTACATTATACAGTGTGCAAATTATATCTTCGTTCCTACATTATACAGAGTGCAAATTATATGTTTGTTCCTATCCTACATTATACAGAGTCGGAATTATGTGTTTGTTCCTACATTATACAGAGTGCAAAGATACAGCTTATACATATTTATACACTTCAATCTTCATTCCTAGTCTTTCTGAGAGGTATCATTTAAAGAACGAGGTCGACAACTCAGGTATCACAATCTCAGTAGGGATGAATATGATTGTGTATGACTTACTGTATGTATATTTAATTCTCTGCTGTTAAGACGAAGTCAAAGTAACCAAGACTAATGCTACCACCAGCCGCCCACCTGAAGTCAAATGTGCAGTCGAGCCTTCGCCCAGTATTTCTGAAACACAGATAAATCAGAATGCTTGTAAAGAACTCGTCGTCAAAGACACAGAAACTAAACTCTCACCGCAGGATGAAGAAAAATTATTAAATCATCTTGTGAAATTTGTCAAAGACAAACTGAATACAAGCAGTTTAAGCTTAGCAGAATTTAAAAAACTCCTGCTACTTCATCATCACTCAGGTGAGTTCAACTGTTGTAACGAAAACTACAACGGCCAGAGTCTTCAGTAAATCTCGTGAAAACGAGATCCATTCATAATGTCGTAAACATCCTCTGCACTTTTATATGAGTCGTTCATTATCAATTTATTTCTGTCATGATGCTATGAATTTAGTTCAAAACACGTGAATACTTTACGTAGAATTATTTTTCTCTTCATTATCTAGCGGGGTCACAAGAAGATGTCCTCTCTTCTGGTGTTACAGATTCATTACTTTTGAAAGCAATTGCTAAATGCGATGGAGAAGAAATTGATCTTAAGGTAACAAAACTTCATTTATAGAAGTTTTAAAAATTAGATAGTTCCTGTTGGGTGCAATTTCATGAAATAACCAGATTAATACAACGTTTTGACAAGTTTTTGACAACTGGAAATATAGTTTCCTCAAAAAAACAACAAGGGTTGTGCTCACACCGTTTTCTTTTTCTAGTGGCCCACGACATCACAATATCCATCAGATTTAAATAGTCGTAGAATTTTTGTCGTTCGAAGTCTTGGCAGTCCCTTAGACAAGGTTTGTGAGCGCCCGCGTTATATGTAGTTTAACCCTGACTTATATATAACTGGATCATAATAATACACCTAATAACCTGGGTTACCATGTGCTGCCAGCAAAGATGCTTAAATTTTTGCCGTTTTCTTCTGTAGTATCGAAGCGTCATACTGAACATGTTTCACGGAGCTTTCTCTGTTCAGCGAAGAATGATCATGGAAAAATCACGACAGGTTCTCGGCACTGCACCCACCGCCTCGGAGTATAACAAAGTTATACAGGTAGAATTCACACTTATTCACTGATCGCTAATGACTAAGTAGGATAGTCCCTAATTTAACTCATTTAAAATCGTTGGAATATTAATATTGTTGGAATACAAGTTTATCATTTTAAGTAGTAACACATTGTTTCGCGCTTTTTGTACTCACAAAGATGATCTCACAAATTCTGCATGAAGTGTATTACATTATGTTTAAGAAATACCTCAACATGTTAGAAAGAACATTAGACGAATTAGAAGAATAATTAACTCGATAAGTCCGTCACGGACTGTGGACTCTTCATCATTTATGTGTAAAATGAAGCAACCCTGTTTTTAAATATCGGAATACTAATATTTTTTGCGTAAGGGATTTTTATTATTTCACGCATGATCGCAGTTGATATTTGTGTTCGAATATTTAGGTTGTTGTTTCCATTAACTTCTCGAACGGCATCAATTTAAATTTGTATGAGGGGGGGGGGGGTGCAACCGCTTCTGTTTCCGGTATTTGCCTGGTGACGAATCATAAATGAAAACGAACAGTCTTTACGCAAAAAAACACAGTATAATCATATATATCTACTCTTTGGCCCAGGTTAACGTACCGAGACTCTCCATATTTATATACGTCGTGTTTTCTAATTGATTATTTGGAAATTCCTTGTTTACATCATTCTCGGTTTCCAGGAGTTGGGGCTCGAACGAAAAGGGGCATGTTGGTTCATTCGTGGAACGCAGCCGGGCACTCTACGAACATAGGCTGGAAATTGTCTAACAACTGGAGGATTTCCAACACTGGCTTACTACATCCAGAGTCGTGCCTGCTAAATGAACCGAAGGCACAAGAAGAGAAAATATTGCAGGTTAGAGTGACGTTATTAAAAACACATGAGAATGGAGCTATGTTGCGTGGTAAAGACTGCAAAAAGCAAAAGTACAGGATAAAATATCCAAATTAAGGTACCGGATAAAATATCGCTTCGTTTACATTAAACTGGGGTTGAATTTAACTGCATTTGAAATTCTAAGAAACATTTACATCGGATGAATAAAATAAGGAAAGCGCAGATGACAAATAACGTTTTTAATCTAAAATTAATTTCAAACATTATTCCTGTTACATCAATGTTTATCACAATACTCTTCAATAATCAACTAAGAATCGTTCCTTTTAAATTTAAATATATAATGCTACAATTTATTGTATATATATATATATATATATGGGGTATATGGGATATAATAGCCTCTAGTTATAGCTATAGTTAAATTTAATCGAAGGAAATAAGCGGGGTTTCGGCAACATTCTGCTCATAAAACTGTTGTTGGCCGTATTGTTGTTGGTTATAGGGTTGTTGAACTGGTTCGTAACCTCCGTACGAGGGTGGTGGTGGTGGTGGTGGTGGTTGCTGTTGTTGGTAGTTACCATTTGGGGCCTGCACCCATGGCTGTTGCCCAGCAGTTTGTTGATAGGTGGGGTCCACTGGTTGGTTTTGGTACTGTAAAGATGATGCTCCCGAGCCTTGAGGGGCTGATTGGGAGGGTTGACCTCCTTGGTATTGTGGTATTTGGGAATTTTGTGTAGGAGGTCCTTGGGATGGTATGTTTTGTTGAGGAGGTGGACCTTGTGATTGCGCTGCATGTTGAGAATAAGGGTGTTGTTGCAACTGGAATTGTGGTTGATTTAGCTGAGGTGGTGGAACTTGTTGTGACTGAAACTGTTGCGTTGGTGTTGTGCCTTGACCTGGGGGGAATGGCTGTGGGGGTTGAGTTTGCGTTGGTGGTGGCCCTGTGAATGACTGAGGTTGTCCGTGAGTGACCCCTCCAGTCATGTTATCTTGTAATGAGTTTGGTCCAGATGAATAAGACTCCATTGAGGGTGGTCCAGATGAAGGAGGTGTGTGGGTATACATGTTTTGTTGGGGTTGATTTTGATATGACATTGGTCCACTTGAAGGGTAATCTGGTCCCATAGCGTAGGTCTGTCCTTGTCTTGGCCCTTCATTCACGACTTGGTACTGATTAGGTTGGCTTCCTGGAGTCGGTTGTCTTAACTGCAGGTCTTGTTGTACTTGTGTGGAGGGTTGAAGGTAATGTGTTGTCTGCCCTTGACTTACAATACTCTGTGTTTGAGGTGGGTTTCCTGCAGGTTGTGCTGGATTAGGGACGGGGGATATATTTTGCAATGACAAATTTTGAAATTGTGAGTTTGGAGCTTCGTATTGATTTCCTGGTTGGTAAGGTGGTTGACTTTGTCTTTGGCCAGGGTGTGGTTGGACACTGGGGGTTAGTGATTGATAGTTAGGTGGCGCTGGTTGATCCCCAGCTACTTGGCGAGAAGGTTGATATGCGCCGTAAGTTGACACTTGACACCCCATTGCTTGCTCTACAAAGGAAACGATTGGGCAGTTAAACGCTGCAAATTGATATAAATTAAAATGTTTCGTCGTACCTTTAGCCATCTGTTCCAATGCTTGTTGCCTTTGTGTTTGCAGCTGCTGCTGATAAAGCATATACTCTTGTTTCTGTTGTCTTAACAATTCCATCTTTTGTTCCATCTGCATGCGACGTAACATGTCTTGTTCCAGCTCCTGTTGTCGTAATTTTTCGCGTCGTTGAACTCGCATTTCATCAAGTGAACGTCTTGTTTCCTGTAAAACTCCTAGTTTTTCCTCCATCATCTCGTACGTATCTAAAGAAAAAGTTCATAACTTTTCTAGTTGAGTGATAACATTATTAGAAACAAGTTTCAGGGATAAGTTTTCGGTGCTAAATTTCAACCAGTATTTCATTATTACATGAATCAAACGAAAGAAATTCTTGATACCTTTTTGCCGTTCTTGTTGCTCGATGTAATTCATCAGTTGTGGCTGCATCGCACTGACCGTTTGGTACAAGGACTGCAAATAGTTATTAGTGACCATCAGGCATCACAGATGTTTTACGAAGACAAAGAATACTAACTTTACTAAAAGGGCTTTTGTGTGTGCTATGATCGTATTAATTACCTGTATAATAGAGTCAGAGGATATATGCCTGCCTTTTCCTGCCACATATTTCATTCTTTCCATTAATTTCTCAACATTGCTGCGGAATGTGGCCATAAAAGCTTCGCATTCTGAATCCTGTTTTGTCTAAAAACACAGTTTTGAGGGTTTTGTTATGACAGACACACATTTTTTGAAGCCAAAATGTATTTTTCCATTTTGATCATGCTGTAACATATTCCTTGTAGGAAGTTGCAAATCAGTTATGAACAACTTCTCAACAAGCCAATATTCTGAGGACTTTGTGTGACATTGGTGCAAGTCTTTTTGAACATACTTTCCCAATGGTTTCTCCATTATAAGATGAAGTAGGTACAGGAGACTCTTCTTCATGTGTTGGAGATGTGTAAGCTGGTGGTGAAGCTTCTTCTTTTCTTTTTTCCCAATAAGACCTGTTCAGGTAGCGATCCAACTAGAACAGCAGCAAGAAAAACAATGCGATCCTAGCTCAATAATTTATAATTATTTGATCAATTATTTAATTGTGATGGCACAAAGGTTGATGAAGTTTAAGTTCTAGTTTGAAAAGAACTGTGAAAATACTCTACCTCAGAATCACTGGGGCCCACTTCTTCCATTGGCTAATTGTAATGAAATGTGATAAAAATTCATTTAAATTAAAAGGTAGGTGTAGATGCTCTGTAGGTGCTCTGCTCAACTAGTACTGTAATTGCTGTTCAAAATTATACATACAGAAGATGTGTAGCTATAACTTGATGGTTTGGCTGGTGCTGATGGCCTTGTTTCCACAACATCATAAATTCTTGATGATTGCGATGATGACTTCTATGAAAGGAAAGTACACTAAACTAGAGCAACAGATAATATATGAATATGCCTGCATGAATTAATGATAGAACACTAGAGGAAATTTTAGAATGTTCTAGCTTACTTGTTTGACAGGGCAATGGTTTGATTGTCCCTTTAAAAGCTACCAACCATGCAATTTTTACATAATTTCTTACTGTATCACCTGTTTTGTTTCTTGTTCAGATACAGACAAAGCCATTGCTAATTGAAGATCTTCCTGTTCTTGACGTTTTATTTCCTCATCTGATTTCTTTTCTGGGACCTAATAAAGGCAATAATGTTGTTAAATAATATTCCACTATTTCATTTCTAGTTAGTTTATAACCTGGCACAGGTGTTTATGATGCAAGGTGTTTATGGTTTAAATTTACTTTGGATTAATTATATACCTGAGACTCTTTAGCAAGGGAACTGTTCAAGTACTCTGGAGGTAAATCACCATTGCCTTTCCCTTTTGCTGGCGGTTGACTTGTTGCAGAGGAGGCTCTGTTGTAAGAAATATTTGATCGTCATTACCCAAAAACACAAAATCATAACTTTATATTTATAATGTATGATAATTACTTTGCTTCACCGGGGTTAAGCTGATCATAGCATGGATCACAGACTCTGACTTCACGTTCAATACCAAATTTTGCAATAACTGAGTTTTTTGATGAGCACTTTGCACAAAATACTTGACCACAGCAACGACAGTGATGCTAGAAATATACATACAACACATATTAAGCATAATTTTTAATTGTGAATGGTTTTTTGAAATACAAATGCACTAAACATTAAAACTTGAAAAAATTCACATATATATACATATATATATATATATATATATATATATATATATATATATATATATATATATATATATATATATATATATATATATATATATATATATATATATATATATATATATATATATCAATGACTGTTCTCCGGATTTAAAATTGTTTTTTATTGAGCTTTCGACTCGGTACTTCGAGTCTTCTTCAGAATATCTAAATTATTTACATGTGTATAGCTTTATATATTATATATATATATATATATATATATATATATATATATATATATATATAATAATCTTGGATTTGTGCGTAGTAAACCAGAGTGTATATATATATATATATGCCATTTGAACATGTATTTTATTAAAGTATTGCACCTCTGACGATATGTACTGTTTATTTTCTATTGAATTAAACCTACTTGTCGGGTGAATGTTCCAAATTTCACACGGCATCTGTGACACACATCTCCATCAGCCCAATCTGGAGCCTTGAACAGAAATTGAAAAACAACTTATTCAGTTATTGCCGGAGCGCCCTTGGAATTTTTCCTGAGAATGAGTGGTCCAGCGAACTGGAAAGTAGCATTGTTAACCTGTTTCTTTAATGACCTTATTTTCATAAAATTTCTCTATTACCTTTAGAGCACTGAACATTGCATCACTCTCATTTCTTTCAGGGAATTCAAAACCTTAAACATATTTTCTTGTGTGAGCAAACACAGGCATATTTTTGTTTTTGCAATAAGTAATAAAATCAATCAATATATTTTATTGACATGCACCTTCCATTTTCATCAAGTTTCTAGTATCTTCAACTATCCTGTATTTAGGCTCATTACGAAAACCATATGCCCAAGCATTGATGATTCTCAACACTTCAGTCTTAACAGTTTCTGGACATACCTATGAAAATAAATTTAGTAGTATTGTTGTTGTTGTTGTTGTGTAAATAACTAGGTAGATTGTATTGCCAGATAACAAATCAATAAGAAATATTTTAATGTAGATGGTTAAATTTTTAGTATGTTATTTAATAAGGTGTAGATTAAGATTAAGTTGCTTGTGACTTTAAGTCAGAGATCTATGTATGAGAGTATCTGGCAGTAGCCTTATCCAGTCTGTTTAATTAAGCTAAACAACCAGCTCTTGTAGACAACTGAATACATACATTAACAAGCTGGCGAAAATCATCCATCATTGCTTTGGTGGCAACCTCATCATGAATTACAGATCCACAATTTTTCACACATGCTTCTAAAGTCTATAATGAAAACAGAAAATTTTTACTTTTTAACATTTTATCCAACCTTTGTGAAAGCATAACCTTTTTTTTTAGCTTACAATAAGTGCATTCTTTGCCACATGTGGATTGGAGTCAAATATTCTCTTTCGAATTTCACTGACAGCAACTTTACCCCTAGAATTTGGAATGAAACATGAAAAGGTTGTTCTTGACACCATAACCATAATAGATTTATATGAGTGAAATAATACTAAACACTTACGTGACATCTTTTTGTCGTATACTGTCACATGCTTGCAGAATGGCAGCCCAGTCCGGTTC